GAATGCCGATTCCACCCTGCTTTTGGCCTCTGCAGATGCTTACGCCCTTGGCCTTTGTTGTATTTGATCTCTTCCCTTCTGGCAGGAAGAGGAGACTGAGGTCAGAGCTGCTAGTCTGGTTTCTGGCCACGTGACTCTTGTTTACAAACTTTGGGTTGTAAAAAGAGAGCTGATGGCCCACCAGGGGGCACTGCCAGCTCGGGAACAGCCACCCAAGAGGAGGGCCACCCATCCCTTGTCATTAACCTTGGCCTTTGTTGTATTTGATCTCTTCCCTTCTGGCAGGAAGAGGAGACTGAGGTCAGAGCTGCTAGTCTGGTTTCTGGCCACGTGACTCTTGTTTACAAACTTTGGGTTGTAAAAAGAGAGCTGATGGCCCACCAGGGGGCACTGCCAGCTCGGGAACAGCCACCCAAGAGGAGGGCCACCCATCCCTTGTCATTAACCGTTACATTAAAAACAAAAAATGCAGCTTGTCCCCTTCCCCCCTCCTCCGCCTTTGGGCAAGGCAGAAGCAAAACCAGCCCTGAACAGCAAGCAGGGAGGGTTTTTTGAAAGTCAACGGCCCGACACTGAATGTGCCTTTCAAGGGGGTAGGATGTGCACAGGCAGCTTTGTTTATTTGTCCCCCAAGCAGATTCCTGCCCCCCTGCTCCAAGGTCAAACCCTCCTCCTCCCCCGTGCAGCTGCCCCCTCCCCAAAGATCTTTCGGCAGCAGAGGAAAGGGCGCCAGCTGTAAGCAGATCTCCCGCAGATCCGATTTCACAACATGCATCCCGTGACGAAATGCAACTTTCCAATGAAATGAATAATTTAGAGAGATGGCGGCAGTGGCAGCAGCTTCTTCTCTCGACCCCTCCCTGCACTTAAGTCCAGCCATCCCCACAAGAGCCCTCTTTACCCTAAGGGGGGACATGCCACCTCCCCTGCACCCAGCTGGCAGATGAGGCTAGGCGCCAGCATCTGAGCAGCCATGGCTGCAGACAGGTTTAACTCAATCTTTCCCCATCTCGGAGGGGAGGCAGCCGAGTCCCAGCCAGATCCCTGCTGAAATGTACAGGAGAGACAGATCTAGAGAAAACAAATCCACTGGAACCAGGGCCCAACTTTCTCTACATTGCTCACAGAGACTCAATCCAGAGAGCTTGTGAGCTCACACCCAATTTCTGCCGCCACCACCAATCCCTGTGTGCCGGCGCAGCATCTGGGGTTATCCCCAAGAGAGGGGCACACGTTTCTGAAAAGCTTTTTGGATTCAAGGCAAGGAGGAAAACCCCAATAGCATCAAAGCTGCAGCTCAAACAACAGTATATTTAGGCAGTGGCAGGGAAGGGAGGAACAAGACAATCCCTGGCTGGGAAGTTACGGAGCATTTACAGGCAGAGAATAACCCATTTCAAGGGGGAATTTCCCTGGCTTTCCTCCCTACGCAGATAAAAGAGGCAGATGGAAATAGCTACTCACCATCAAAATCAGTGTACACTGTGTCCTTGAGCAATGCTCCAGACCCAAAATCTATCAGTTTCAGTTCCCCGCTGTTCAGATCAATCAGGATGTTCTCGTCCTTGATATCCCGGTGCAACACCCCACAGCTTTGACAGTGCCGAACAGCCTCCAGAACCTGGCGGAAAAAGCTGCGGGCCAGCTCCTCCGGGAGGGCCCCCCGCTCCGTGATGAAATCAAACAGGTCCTGCACTGGGTCTGGCCGCTCCAAAACCAGGATGAAGCTGTCTGGTCTCTCAAACCAGTCCAAGAGCCGAATGACCCCCCGGAAGCCAGAGCCCACCTTCTTGAGGAGCAGGATCTCCATGGGTACTCTGCTCCCGCCAGGCTGCAGAGAAGGGAGATCTCCGTCAGAGGCAGGCGACTTGGCCCGCAGAGGCCACCCCCCAGCTGAGCCCCACGGGGCGCGCAGAGCCCCAGCTCCTGACACTTACCAGCTCCCCCCAGTCAGAGATCCGGTCCCGGGCCACGTGCTTGATAGCGACCTGGGAGACAAACAGAACCAGACAGGCCATCAGCCTGGAGAAAGGCAACCCCAAGAGGGGAGGCAAGATGGTGGCTGTGCCAGGGCAAAGCGGGGAGAGGAGATGGAAGTGGGCAGGCTCGACTCACCGGGGCGCTGTCCGACAGGCGGGTGCCCGAATAGACGGACCCAAAGCCCCCGCTGCCCAGGAGCGGGCCCACCTGATACAGCTTCTCCAGGGGCTCCTTCTCCTTCCCTGCGGGCAGAGACCAGGGTCAGGGCCAGCTGCACCCCCAAAGACAAG